TGTGAAGGCCTTAACAGAGTTTTGTTAATAGATCTTAATCTTATCTTAATTTTAATTATTTAACAGATCTCTGTGAAGGAATTAACAGAGTTTTATTCACAGATATGGTAAGCGTATCTGCTAATTAAATTCGAATTTATCTTCACACCCTTGAATGAGTTAATTTTCAATTTTCTAAAAATGGGTGTACCATGATGGTCTTGAATTATAAAAAATCAAAATTTCTCTTCAAATTTCTTTTTCTGTTTTTAGGTCTGGATTAATCAGGGTGATATTATATTGGTCGGTTTACGTGATTATCAAGATTCAAAGGCCGATGTCATATTGAAGTATACGCCCGATGAAGCCAGGAATTTGAAAACTTATGGTGAATTTCCTGAATCGGTACGCATTAACGATACCGTTACATTTGTTGAGGACGGTTTGGATGAGGATATTGAGTTTGGCGATGAATTTAGCTCGGATGATGACGCCGATTCCGTAGACAATATCTGATTAACGACAAAAAGCAAACGAGACACAGAACAGCAGCAGGCTGCAGCAGCAGAAAATAAACTTAAAGGTTAAAATCGATCGTAATCGCCGTAATAATTAAATAAATTTTCAACTTGATACAACATAAAGAGAGAATAATATATTTTATCCTCCTCTTCTTTCTTCCCGTACAAGATCATACTTCCTCTCCCCCATATATCCTTTTATTCTCATTCTCGTTTAATTTTTTTTCTTCTTTGTTCATCTTTATTCAAAATTCAAATTCTATACATGCATATATGATAAAATAACAACAACAACAACAAAAAACAAAACAAAAAAAACATCTTATTTTTAAAATATTCAAAATACATATATATATTTTTTCAGCTATATAGCTAACGAAACGAAAAAAGTGTTTGCGTTATACGATATAAATATATATGAAGGCAGCGAAGCGGTTTATTCAATTTTCAACCGGTATTGTTATAACAGAAAATGGAAAGATTATGATGAAGACAAGTAAAATTAGTATAGTGGGCCATGACTCGACACCATTAACTGTCACCCTACACCAGACCTACAATTATTCATATAGCGACTTTTCAAAATAAGCCGTTACAGGGGAAATAGTCAAAAAATTGACTCGATTCGAATCATTTTGCAATAACATTCTCCCTTGGGCTCAACATTTGTCAGTGTATAAAATTTCATCAAAATATGTCCAAAAATTTGCAGTCCTTAGGGGAACAAGACAACAAGATGGACGGACAGAGAGACAAATAACTTAAGATAGATTCAGAGGTAAGAAAACATAATTCTACCTTTTGGATGTAGCATAAATCCGCATACATTTAATATACTCTTGTACCGAAAATGTTGATAGGTGTAGGTGTAGGGTATAAAAAATGAATAAAAATATATATGAAAACTATACGTATGATATGTAGGGTTATATATACATGTACTCAACTATTTACAAACATCTATGCAAATATATAAATATATATGAATATTATCATATGTACATAAAGGAAAATACATATATGTAAAAGAAGAAAAATCATACTATCTACTATCAAGTATCGGGGGGAAAAAAAAAAAAAAACAAAGCACAGATGATGAAAAACTCTATTAAAAATTTTAGTATAAAGATATCAAATGTCAAAATCCTTTAATAGAAAAAAAAAAAAATTTCAAATGAAACATAAAAATCATAATAAACTTTTTTAGTGCAGCAATCATAATATGCTATAAGTTAGTTTATTGCAAAAACAAATACTCCTTCGATCGAATGTGAATGCGAATGCGAATGTATAGTCAAACAAATAAAAGGTATATATAATTCAAAGGAGTATATTATGACATAGTTGCTATGAGAAGAATCTCTGTTTGTCTGTCTGCCGCCCTACTCCCGGTAATTCCATGTATTTGAATAGGAGTAACAAAAAAAAAAAGTGTTTCAAATTTTATTATAAAACCCGTTATTTAAAGCGGATGCAGTCATGCTTTCTATGTATTTAAGCTTAATGTCTTTTCTTGTTTTTTTTCTTTTTTCTTTTCATTAAAGGACATTATTCGTCAATTTGAAAAAGTATAACTGTATGTGCATGTTGCGTTATGTATGTATATCTGCTTATTTGTATATTAGTTATAGAAAAAAAAAAAATTAAAAAAATTAAAAATTCATTTAGAAATTTTTTAATTAATTTAATACAATTAAATCAATAATAAAATGAAACGGATTACAAACAGCAAAATAGATAAAAAGAAATTTGTGTGTGTGTGTGTGTGTGTGTTGAAAAAAATTTCATTTATTTTATAGATTTATATATGGGTTTTACTCTGCTGCCTGGAAACCTACAGGAGGCGGAGCATCATCACCAGCCGGAGCAATGATGTCAATTTGATTAAAGTATGTTGTCGATCGGATTGGAAGACATTCGTATCCTTCTGACTGCTTCAGTTGTCGAAGCTTGTTTTTTTTTTCTGAAAAAAACCCGGAAATCGTAACCTGTGCAAGATCAAGACTTAATGACGAGCTTGACTCTTGCCAACTGGCAAGGAAACTTTGCTTTGTTCTCGATATCTGTCCAAGTTGGGGTTAGAGTTTTGAGATGCTAAACTTCTAAATATCTAAACAACTCCAGCTACAGAAAAATAAATTTCCAAGCAGTGATGCCAACTTGATATATGTACTATTTATCTTTCTTGCGATCGATTGAGGAAATTTTTTTTTGTTCGTTTGGTTGAAAGCCAAAGATTATTGTTTAGGAAGGAGAAGAGTATAGAAGCATTGCTGCCAATTTGAGTCAAGTAATCTCCGAGCACATGAAGAAGAAGCGTTCATTTTCATTGCCACTCTCTTCATCCTCGCTTCAGGCAGTTTTCGAAAAACCGATCCAAACTTAAATACAATAATTTCTGCAGCTACCTCTTTACTCCAATTCGTCGGTTGGCTGCTTAAAAGTCAAGCGTTACGGGGCTACAGTTCCTATAGCTGCCTTGCCGCACTGCCGCCAGCTTGAGTTAATCAATCTCCGAACACATGAAGGAATTGCCATTTGCTCCTCATTGTTTCTCATAGTTTACTTATTGGTGCTTAGGTAACCTAGAACCCATTATAATAGATTGCAATGTCTACCATTGCTTGGTTAATTGTAGATTGATTTCCGAAAGGCATCGATTTGTGATCGAAACAAGAACAACCAGTGAAACGAATCGAAGTGAAATACTTTCTGAAGTGATCATGATCAAGTTGGTTTCCAAGCCCCTCCGCTTCATTCGGTTATGCAATAGTCTCCGAAGAGTCTCCGAAGAGACTATTGCATAACTATTGTGCCTAGAAACAGGAAAAGATAAAATGAGAAATTTGTGATAACGTGACGCAAGAAACGTTCATGTCCGGCGGAAAGAAGTGAAAAAGTTCGTAATCTGTTGCTAGACGGCCACCATTATGCTATGGGCTAATAACGAATTTAATACGCTTTCTCGTTGTTTTTTTGTTAATACATTTTTTTATTTATATAAATAAAAAAAAATTCCATTTTTAAGGCACAAAAAATGTGATAAGACTTAAAGGTATTACGAAGTGATACAATCAAAATGATGTTCTTTATTTTTGAACTGAATCAAAGAAGACGAAGATAAACGAAACCTTTGTTATTGTTATAATATCATATTTGAACTTTAAGTCGAAAAGAAATATGTCGCGTTGTTATAAGAATTCCAGCAATTTTCGACATAGATGTGTCCTTTTTCACATAGTTTCTCGTTGCATGTTGTTTTCAAAATCCGATATGTCTCAATATCGAGTAAACTGGATGACTTTGAAGTATGTACTCACTACATATAACGTGTAGAGAGTTTACAGTTGTCAATGAAATATGCATTTTTCTTCGCTATGTTACGTAGAATCTCTCGATCGTTTTAATTACTGTCGAATTTACTCGATATCGGGCACCATAATTCGCCCCACACATGTTAGTTAGTAAATGTTTTAAAAATATTACATCAATGTTAACAACGTTAATTTTCACATAGTATATATATATATATATAGTGACATTAAAAGAATATATTACGAGAGTAATATTTATTTGTTACGGTGTTATCCTCAAAATTTTGAAAGTGTTTACTATGTTGTTAAGAGACTTGAATTCTCATATGGAATATATATAGTGGATCATATAAAAAGTCTCCGCGCTCTACGGACATACGCATACAACTGAAAAACATATTCACTTTCAAACGAAGAAAAATTTTTTTTTTTAATTTTTTTGCTCGACCACGGATACTTTTTATATGATTCATTATTTATATATTTTCAATTCGTATATATATATATATGTATATATGTGCATTTAGGCATAGTTCCGAAAAGTGGTGAATAAACTATATAAAACGCGAAGAGTAGATTTAAGATCCATATTTACAATATCTTCCGGTCGAGCTTTTGGCCTTGGCAGACCGACATCTTGCATAAGGTTAAATGAAAATGCGACATTGTTAATCATTTGATCAGCATCTTGCGGCGTTAAATGAAATTCTTGTAAAGGTACAAAGAATCCACCTAGTAATCCCATTAGCAAGCAAAGATAAACTCCATCACGAAAATCGGTACTTAATTCATTAATTTCGAAATTCAATTTCGATAAATGTTTATTCACAAAAGTAATGAGTGATTTTTTAACGACAGTCAATTTTTCGGGAGCACAATCAAACAACGTATCGAAGGCATCTTTTTCGCAGCGCATTCCAACATCATCATACTCAGAGGTAATTTGCTCTTGAAATTTTTGAGCATTCAGAATACCACTGTTTTTTTGAGCTATCACTACGGTAACAAACACATTCTCAGGTAATCGAACTGGTGCACGAAAATGTCGAACTAAAGCAACCAATAGATGATAAATGGCAACAATATTTTTTGAATGCACACTCTCCACCGACCATTTCGGTATTTTCATGTGAAACCCTAATGTATGATTAACGGCATTTAAGACGATATTTAGTTTTTGCCGCTGCCCCTCTTCAGATTGTGTAACTTCGGGGACATCTAATTTTTTTCCAGTTAATTTTTCCCACAATTTATGAAGCACCTGTCCATCGTACATATCTTCGTCGATGCTTTTAACAATAATGCGTTGTTCAGCCAACTCGTCGTTAATCCAATCAATTAAAACTTGTTGTAATTTACGTACCTCAGGTTCATTTAACGATTGAGGATCAATCACGGCCCGTTGCTCATGATCACGGAGCGCATAGTCTTCGGGCGGTATATCGAATTGATACGGCGCCCCTGGATAATCGATTGCATTTTTGCCTTCTTCTTCAACTTTTTGCACAGCTTTTGTTTCTCTTTTTCTTCCCAATGTGCTGAATTTATCCCAAAAACTTTCTTCCTTCTCGCCCGATCTTATGGTGTTACTCACATATGGAGATTTTGGTCGATTTAAACCACCACTCATTTTTAATAATTCCCTTAATTATAATTACAAGAAAATTTATTTCGGGCTGAGTGACGTCAAAGTCAACTAGTAATGTCAATTTAGTTCATTTTTGTCTTGCTTCTTCTTCTTTTGCAATTCAGCAAAACATAAACAGATGATTCCGCAGTCTTAAGTAAAAAAGTTGCAATCTGATCATGAGTTTTTCATACACTATACTATGTGCGTAATGCGCGCATGGACTTAAAGTAGACCCACCTTTTGTTATATAATATATTTACATACATATTTCCATTTTCGATCACTCGCCATATAACGACATATTCGGAAAAACCGTTATAGGGAAAAAGTTTGCAATTTTCAAAATTTCTCGACAACAGTGGGTAAGCAAAAGTATTTCGACATTCTAAATTGATGTAAAAATTTGAACCGGCTGAGGCTATTTTTTGAATCTCCTCCTACCAAATGCCTACCAAATATTATAGTGAATTAAAATTTAATTTTTTTTTCAATTCCTAGTAAGACGTCTTAGAAACAAGCTTCGAATCCTCATAAAGTATATAAATTCTTGGCATGTTGGTTTGTCCATGTGTCCATCTGTCCAACGGTGTTGTATGTGTAGTAAAAAAGGGACCTAAACTGATCAAAGGACATGCCCACCACGGCTATACGCCTATGCAACAAAAATTTTGCACACCTTTACTTTTCGAGTTTTTTATTTGTTACACATCTACCCATATAAAGTTTATCCGTTATTCTGAAACTACTACTTCTGAAACGCATCAGCGAAGGAAGGAGGATGGGGGGGGGGGAGGAGGATATCAAAATCTTTGCGACGAGGAAGCATCACCGACCTCGCAAAGTATTTGTATTCTTGATCAGCATCAAATTTTAAGTATATCTAAGCATGTCCGTCTGTCCGTTAGGATAAAGTCTGTTGTAAACATTCTCTTGGTCGCAAAATTAATGAATGAAATAACTTTGAATTTGGCGACAACATTGGAGGTTTTTTCAAGCAAGGTTGTATTAAAATGAGATCAAATTGGTCGAAGGACACGCCTTCAGCACCACGTAAACTGGAAATATCTCCGTTTTCCAAAAGAAATAAAAATTTGCTCTTTGCTCATTACTCATAAACTAGGACATATAAATGTACAAAAATTTGATCGCATATATTGTGGATGATGCTGTATCTGTGCAAAAGTGGAAAAAATTTACCACGTCTACCCGATATTATAGGGTATCAAAGTTTAATATTTAGATTGCCTCTGTTTAGCAAAATAATGTTTGCCATATTAAAAATTCACCATTTTTCCTTTCTTTTAAAGATTTCCTGAAAATGTGTCTTTAGATGGTGAAGTTTTGCGAAACACAATCTAATCCAGTTCATTTTCAACAGAATTCGTGCTCGGGCCAAATTAATTCAGTTTACCAAATCTCATCAAACTATTTGAAAAATTACGAGGTATAAGTTGGTCATATACATATATATATCACTTATTTGATATATATAGATATATATATACATATAGGTCGATGTAGATTGATTGATGTATATATATATATATATTCATGTATTATATATATATTAATATATTAATATATATATATATATATATACATATAGGTTGAAATCAGACAATTAATAAAAGGTTCCTTTGATTGTTTTGACTTAATTTTTTATTTTCAAAGTATTTTATTTGATATTAACACGTACTCAATACAAAATACAGGTAATTGAAAAGTTTACAAATTCTTAGTTTTTATTATAATAGTTCGAAATATAGATATCATAGATATATGTGACAAACGGAACAAAAAAAAAGAACAAAATAATGAATAAAAATCAGATTGTAGTGAAAATAATAAAATAAATTTTAAGTGAAAATTTCATTTATATGCTGTGTACAAACAAGAAAGACATAGAAGAAAGCGTCCAAAATAAACAAAACGATTACAAGAAGAGGCCATTTGAAGTGATATTTTTCTTCTAAAGCCCCTATGAATTGCCTAAACGAATCATTGACTGCGTTCGGTTTTGGTGAGGTCGCCTGCAACGAACGACGCGAGGTTACTTTTGCTGAAGGCGTGCCAATTCGGTGACCAAAAGATTCGCGTTGACGCAAATTAACAGCAGCGCC